CCTGATGAAAGCTTTTATTCAATTATCACTCTATTCTGGTTAAAGCAGAGATTTCCCTCGGCATTTAATGTATGTCAGCGTTACACTGTGATGTTCACCTCTATTACCAGTACCTTTGCAGGTTTGAGGTTAACGAAAAACGCTTGTCTGGTAGATACCTAACGATAACAGAAAACGTGAAATACGTAGACAGGCCTACTAGTATTTAAAGGATGATTTGAAGTTCAGGGTGGTAATAAGAGGAATCCAACTTAAAACTGGTGAAAGCCGTGATCAATTCATCAGAAATTGAAGTGTCTGGAGTCGTATCGTCTATTTGTAATCCGCCCTCGCAGAATGGAGAGAGTTTACTGCCGTAAGTGTTCTGTACCTTGGGTTATGAATCCACTGGTCGGATTGCGCGTTTTGGGTTTATTTTCGCTTCAAGATAGCTCTAGTCTGAGCAGACTGATATGAGAACAAGACTGATGTTAAGACATCTTAGAAGTCAACATAGAGAACCACAAGCATGCAGAAAAGTCTGTAAGAGGAGATAAACAATTTTAATACTTGAACTGAAAGGCCAATGCCAATATGCTTAGAATAAAATCACGGGTAGACACGTGACTGGGAATTTTTTTCAGCTTTTGCGGAGACCGTGTCAAAGTACTGCAATTACATATTTAAGCTTTAGGAAAGGGAACATACATAACTTAATAAATAAAGTAAAGCCATAGAAGGTCAACCATGTTCAATGAAAATCGACTTCTTCTGCGTCGGATTTAATTATTTAAAATCATAATAATATTCTTCTACCCTTAAAGTTCTCGGCTCTTCTCGAGTAATAGAAATAATAATAGTAATAATATGTAGTCTTAGCTCTCTGAAGATGCGTCTCAACAGTCACCATTTACGCTAAGTCATTAAGCATAAATGTTATCGCTGTTACTGCTCTTACTGAAGATTGGGAATTAACTTCTTTTTAAGTGTACGTATAGTTTTTGGACCAATTAATAGACTGGGAAATCATCTCTATTGTAGAGAGTTTTCATTCATTCGTAAGAATGACGTCAATGAATCTGTGACGATAGTAACAACGTGGCGTCAGTGTTAGTGTGTCCTGTAATAATTCCTCATTCTGCGTTTCGTACTAAAACAAAGAGAAAAAGAAACATGTTTTATTGCATATCAAAAACGTTTCACTTCAAAGAGTCAATTTCATGTTAGAAAAATTTTGCCTTTTTTGTTTCAAAGTGGGTACATATGTGAAAAAGTTGTGTGTCCATATATTTTAACATTACACGATGCAGTGTTACCTGGAACGATTTTAATTACGTCAACGCACCTGATGCATCTATAATTTCCCTCCATGTCAACTTTCAAACACAGCGTCCCCTCACCGATCAGCAGGATAGGAGGGTCGTCACCGTCCCCCGACGAGTCCGTAAAAGACGCGGGATATCTCGATGGTTGACTGGCTGGCAAAACTAGAAAGAAAATAAAAGATACTAAATTAATACCATATGGAAAACATTTAATTTTCGGGCAGTTATACAGGCTTTTTAAATGGATTAGGCGTTTACTAACACTACCCGCAGATCTTTTAGCACTAACACCCATATTGACCATAAAACCCACGCGGGTAGTGCTAGTAAACGCCCAATCCGTTTTATAAGGCCTGTTATGCAATGTATTCAAGAGTGCCTTCTATCATCACTATGCCAGCAAATATTCTTATATACTGAAACGGTTCTGTGTTTAAGATTTATACCACTCGCAAGCCACAACTGTTTTTTATACTGCAGTCGGCTTGATCGAAATAGTTCTAGAAAATAAGGAAAGGTCGAGATGCCCTGGAATTTTATCATTTGTGACTTAGTCATTGCCTTTTGTGGAACAGACACGGGGGCAATTTATTACTATAATTCGCTGAAAGTGAATTGCCATTTTAAATATAAATAACCCACAATTACGTCAAAATTCATCAGTTACCATCTATATAGAAGGCGTCGTAATCCACTCCGTACTTTCCGAGGTCCAGTTTTACACTGAGCTGGACAATTGGCCGCACGCCGATTCTTCTTTCAATAATCAACATGCATTTATTTGAAAAATCTCCCTCTCAAATTTTATCTAAATGATGTTTTTTACACGCAATATTTTTGGTTCGTTTTTTAGCAAAAATCGGAGAGTGATACTGCTGAAAATATAACATCAGAACCAATCCCTTCAATTCGCCAAAAAAGACGTAGTAAAATCCTTTATGAATATTATAATATCAGTATTAATATCAAATTTGCATAAAGCTATGGAAATTAAGCCAACATTTTACACCGCTCTACGGCAATGCATGCAAATATACATGTGTACGCATGCATGCAGCATAAATTCAAACAGGAGTCTTTTTTTTCAAATATGTTTCCTGATCAGATTAAGAACGGTACAGCTTACCAGGGGGACGTATCAATTACATCCCGCAAAATCCACTGTGGTGTGTTCATAATATGGTTCGTTTCGAGATATAAACGACAATGGTCCTGCGGGATGTTTCAGATCCTCACCAATACTACAAGCAATTGGAATTATAGCTATTCTAATCTGGTCAGATTTGCTCATTTCATAATACTCAAAAGAAATGGCTCTCGTTGGCGGTATTGTACGCATTTTGAATTCGGACATTCTCCATTTTCAGAGTCTATTTTGGTATTTACAACAAACCATACCCAGTACTTCTAAACTACATGCTTGTAGGTCAGTCATCTAGTAGTAATTTTGTACGTAAATAAAGTTCTTAAATTTATTACTGGACTTTCAATTTAGACACCTATATGCATCGAGACTGAGAACAATTCGATGTGAATCCTCAGTAAACCGACTGCAGTTTTCGAAAGGAAGATGCAACATCGTAAATTAGACTGAATTGTAAGTCCCATAGTAGATTAAAAGACATATACATTTAGGGTATTTCAGAAGTTGGCAACCCTAACGACCGAGAAATAAATTGAACCTGCCAAAAACTGAACAGGGAAATCAATGGTTGAAAATGAGTTAATCTGACAGCGATGTCTGGTCATCCAACATCTATTTCTCATACGTATTATAGAACGTATTTCTCATATATATTTATAGTTATGTGAAAAATACTATAAATCACTATATCGCGAGCTGCCGGAAGACATTTTTTGCAGCTCTTTGGAAATAGGCATCACATTCATCATCCGTTGCACAATACAGATACTTTTTTCGTGGATAAGACCTAGACCATACACAGTTTTCATCTGCTAACAGTAATCCTGCTTTGTGCAGTTGTGGTCGGCAGTAGATAGGCTTATATATCTTCCATTGGTCAACGCATTTTATCACAATTTTGATTTTCAAAACAAAATGGCAAATCTACCACCCCCATGGCAGGCCATGAGACCCATAGTAGTGTTGCAAAATGTCCTAAATAATTTCCTGCAGTGAAAAGAGAGGGGGGAATATTGCCACGCCTTGTCTCAGCACGGATCAGGATACGACAGTGACATAATGATTATTAGTGCAGGAGAAGAACGATGCTTCTAATAAGGTTTTTGCCAACCTGCGGAGATCTCATTTTACCCTAGAGTCTTCTATGATACGCAACGAATGAAGTACGACATATCTTTTGCAAAAATAATAAAAAAGCATAAATTTTGTTTTCACACAAGAAAGATAATTTTGAATTGCTGCAGTATTTATGTTATAACAGCGCACCGTAGAGATCTTTAGCACCATCTGTGGTTTCTGAAACAAATGAATTGAAAAATATCTTTAGAGAATAAAGTGACGTACGAAAAAGGCATGTTGTTTATCACTGTATGTGGCTGGGGAATAGAGCCGCCATATGTTCCTGCTTTCGGTAGTGGGCTGCTCTCCAATCTCTTCTCTTAGGGCCATTGTATCGTCCTCTACATTTTCTCTCAATTTTTTCCCTCTCTCTCTCTCTCTCTCATCTATATTTGTTAGCGTGAAATTATACTTTACTTAAATATCTTTCTATTCAAACTTTTAATATATGGATGGCAATACTATCAACGGCTATATCTCTTTTATGACGCTCAGTAGCAGAGAATTGGTTAAAGAAAGACGCCTGAAGGTTGTAGAGCAGTCAGGGACACACAAAAGACAGGATCGGAATTTGCTCAACAGATGAAGCTCGCATGGACAGCTGATTTCTTTTGAAGTTCTAACGACCGATTCTACAATCGCCGATCAACTTTTGATGTGATATCTAAACTGATTACTGGTTTGTTTGTGTGCACTAAGAATTCCAGGGCAACGCATCATCGTGCTCACTACAATAACGTTGTCTGTATATTCCCTGGACATTGAGTCATTTCAGATCCTTGTTTCAGAACAACAATGGCTTCCTTCTATTTGTAAAAACCACGCGGGGTAATAGTGAAAGCGACTCCGTGGAGGCCGCTTCTTCAATGCCGGTAGATTACCTTCATGGCAACCTGACGTCGCGCTATTCAAGGAAAGCCCCGAAAGGGTATTACCCTCGCTTTTCACTATCGCGTGTCTTTATAAGTTGGAAATCAAAGCAGTACGCCAATTATGCCCAAGGTGTGGTGATCAATTTTTTGTGCACCAACCTTATTTTCAGGTTAGAATAATATCAGGTAAAAATATACTTTGGTTTTGGTTGAGCTGCCTACGACTTCTGAGGAGGTTCCCCGTGGACCATAGTGAAAACTTGTCAAAGCATATTTCGTAAATATCAACTTTCACGTATAACTCGGGTAAATCTCCTGCTATTTATTGTTCCTCCCCCGGGACCCCGTCCAGTCATCAGCGCGCTATTAGCGCAGTCCCCTGAGACTCGATATCTATGAAGTAAAAGGCTATCCGTTTAACGCTAAAGCAAATTAAATCGAAACCAGAGATTTAATTAAGGATGTATATTGGAAGTAGGAAACACATTTCCCGACCTGACGCAGCCGGTGTATGGATGTCATCATACGCTTGGCCAGATTTCACTGCTCTATTGTCAACACCGCCGCACGCTGGAGCGGGCACGCATAAACGCTGGGACCACAGGTGCGGGTTCGGCATTCATTAACGCCGAGCATGGGTGGCTGGAGATCATTGAATTAGATCGGTAATACAGGCATGAAGTATCAAATGAGAATATGTCTATCGGGCCATTGTATGATTGACAGGCTAATTTGCGTCCCATTGCCTTCTTGGTGGTTCGCTCTGGTTCTGATGATGGTAGGCAATTGGGAAGTCGCTTTGGGGATCAGACACCTATTAGCTCTCATGTTCTATGTATCACACACGTGATTCACGTGTATTTAGAATAGTGTGACGAAAGACCAACTTGGTTTAGGTTTTAGTGGTTTGGTGATTCGTTTGATGATGAAGGATTTCCAATTGCTATGACGAATTGATGTAGTCCGACCCCTTTTCTCCGTCATTTGAATCTCATTCAGAAAAAATATACCAAGTAAAGAATTCCGTTTGTCAGGTACCAGTAATTACTGAACTATGGGTATTTGGGACATTTTGGAACATAAAAGTTCGACACAGTCGTGCCCCTTTGGCGCTGCAATTTTAAGTTGTGAGTATTTTTCCACCCACACACGCCGGAGGCACGATGCAACATTTTAAAGGCTAGATTTCCATCCTCATTAAATGGTACAGAACATTAAGAAATAAACCAAGACTGTCTTTCATTTAATTGTTTGGTTCTGCTGGGATAGTGCCAGAGTGATTCCTGCCTGATCTGTCCTGTCCTTGAGCACGATGTTATGTCTAAAGTACCCGACAAAACAAGTGCTGTTAAGTAACAAACACGACTTATTTCCCCATGATAAGGTAACACGCGAAATAGTCATTATGTAACAGAATTCAATGAAAAAATTTTTGAATCTACCGCAGATGCTACGTACAACATTGTTTAAACCCGTCCCGACCACAAAACAAACCACGTTCGGTACGGGTTTAAAAGAAATCTATTGCGCTCTAAGTTTAACATTAAGATATTTAATTGCAATTCATTGAATCAAAAATTCAAAGGTACCCCGTGCTCTTTAACTGTCTTAAACTGTCTTTCTATCTTTTCTTTTAAATCTGACCATAGCGTTGTTATAGAAGTGGGTCATCATAATGGAATTAATCAAAACGGTGTTGTTTTGCGTTTTTTCAGGCCTAGCGTAACTACCGATATGCACACGTTCCTTGAATACATGTACCTTACCTTTTTGATAATAGGTTTGTACTTTGTGTGTGTCCATTCTCTTGCCGAAGCGACCCTGTGGTCTCCAGTGCTGTGGCCGACATCGCCCAAATAATCCCAACAGTATCACAAGTGTTGCCACAATTAAAACCCGGGTCAAAGAATTCATTGTCTGGAAAAAATAAATAAATAAAACTTCACTTTTTAACCCGTTTATGCTGATATCTTCCATATCAAATAATTCATTTCTTTTTCTTTCTAATCTCATGTAAACAGACAGCACCATTAAAAGCAGCGTAGACGGCCAACAATTTTTACATGAAACATTATAAGCTGAACAAATCATTACCGTATGTACGGCGTATTAATTAACACATTCAAAACACGCTCATTCTTTGTGTAACAAAACCTTGCTTCTGTAGAGATCCAAATCTTGATTCAGCTTATTGAGAATCAATAAAAGATAATGTGTATATAAACTATAAACTCCATAACAGCCAAAACCATAAGGAATCATCTTTCCTATCTACTCCATCCGCCACGTGTACTTTAAATAAAACCAAACCTTGCTTCAGCAATGAATAACCTCTTATCTTCTTTACCTCCATTATTCAATCCAAACCTCTTCCCGGCAACTGCCAGTCTACGAGACTTCAGTGCCATTACCATGAAGTTTATGATGTGACCAGTAATTATATCGCCAGTCTAGCTGGTGTATAGCCCGTTCGTCTCATTCTCTTTAAAGGTCAGAGAAACCCGGCACGCTACTCACACGTTAAAACAAACAGCTCACGCCAGACTGAAATCCCAGAAACTCTATTGCTCGTGTCTATTCTTCACACCCCGAGGAAGCGGGGGGATTAATATGGCACCAACGTTGTCAAAGAGCGCAAAAGGTGTATCTTAATATCAGGGTGTTTTTATTATTTATAAAGTTATATCAGGTGAGGTAATGGTTAACGTGATGTATCATTCATTCATCAACGTTCTAGAATTAAACTTGGCGCCAATTGTGGAAATAAATTAAAGAGGTGAACGCAGATGAACGTCTGAATCATAAGGTGTTGTAATTATCTGACAATATACGAAATATAAATATAATCTCCGCGTTTTAATGAAGTGATTCAAACATACAGGGGAGAGAGAATTACTATTTTTAAACTCAGTTTTGAAACCGAATGAGATCATATTACCTGAATTCAAACTGAAAAATAAAGAAAACAAGTACGAGAAAGTCAGAGGCTGGTAGTGGTTCCGTGTTAGAAAAAAGGTAATATTTGAAAATGTTAAATGGTTCAGTATAAGAAAAAGGTAAAATTTGAAAATGTTAAAGAAAACGTGAACTCGGTGACAACTCCGCTTCAGTATAAGCTTTAATTATAATTCCACTTTTTTCTTATTCTGCTAATGAATAAACCCTTTACTCTGAGATCAAAGAAACACGTAGTATTATTTTTGGAATGTTTGCCACTGGTCTTCAGGAAAGGCGCCAAATGATTTTTCGTTTACGTGAAAATTTTTTTCGCACTCATTTCCACTGACTATCAGAAAATAAAGGGAACATGCTATATTTACATCTGTTGGCTAATGTTACTGGTTCTAAACCTTGATGAACTTTTAGTTGTTGGCTAACATCACGCAAAACAACTTGAAATGAAACAAATGAGTTTTGCCAGTACAGCATACAGGAAGTTATTTCGGTTCTCTGCTCCTACATGGCCACGTAAGTTTATTCTCACCAAAGTCAAAGTTTTAATAGCTATCTACTTGTTTTACACATGAGAACTCTAAAGAAGGTTTTTCTTTTATTAGAGATCCAGAATATAATTTACTCAGGTTTATTGACTAACAGAAAATGAGACAACCACAGCTGTTTTATTAAGGTAATTCAAGGCCAACCCCTTCTGAACAAAGGTTGTTTCTCTTTAAATCGGATTTAAACAAAGGCTAAAAGCTCTGGTCATATGGCCTTAAAAGGCCACATTTGGCTTAATTTCATTTGTCGAAAGGGCCCAGTTGAATATTAATCAAGTAAATGCAAACAAACCTATCTGTTTTTGTCTCATATATCAATGGAATCTCTCACTCTACACATTTAGCCAACACCTTGATACATGAATACAGCGTTTGAAGCATTTGCATGCAAGTTCTTGAAATCGTAAAAGGGCTACGGAAAATTAGTCCATTAGTCTGATCAATAAGACTGATCATTAGCCGTCACCAAAAGCTTTATGCAATAGATACAAAATAAAATTTGAGGATTTTTAACCTTAGCACGCGAATTTCTTAAAATCAGAAAGAAATTCGGGTAAATTAAGTCCATTAGCCTTATCAAATTTGATAATCGCGAATTTCGATGGAGAACATGAACTTGGACGTAAGCGTGCGGGGCAACTCAAAAAAAAAAAAA